GGGTTTAATGGCTGTGGAGGGAGTGCAGCTCTGAATGCTAAGATCACTGAGTGAGTGGTTGATGCGAGGAGGCTCTAACTGATAGGGGCAACGTAGCAAAATGCATCAATGTCGTGAAATCAACATGAAATACAGACACGCTGACACAAACTGTTCTTACATAAAGGAAAGCACTTTGTGTCTCTTGAAAGTGAACACGTCTTTCTTCTGAAATAATCAAAATTCCTCGGCTTGGACGAAGTGAAGTGTTTTAGCCGACAGAACATTGATCTGATAACCTGTTAAAATGTGTAGCAGCAGTGCTTTGTGGTGCTACATCTCTGTCTTTGCTCTCACCAGCTCAGACACATGCTGCTAAGCTGCACTGAGCTAACATGAGCAGAGTCAAGCCCAGGGCTGAACATGCTTTCTCGCTTGCTTCCCTTTCACACGGGCTCTCGTTACACTGCTGTTTTCTTTAATTAACCCGGAGAGAAAACAGCTGACAGAGTTATCGCTTTGCTCTCCTGTGGCCACCAAGTGCACCATCTTCACCTACGCTTTGAAGGGCCTTGGTGACGACAGCTTTCAGACAAAAAATGAAAAAAGCATAACGTGAAAAAACCAGGAGACAAAGAAGAAAACGAGACCCATATGCTAATGATATTTTCCAGCACATTTTCTACTTTGAGTAAAATCCTGTGGTTTGTGGTAAAAATGCCAGATTGAGGCAGGAAATGGACCAATCCCCTCCTCCCTCCCCAGGCCAGCTCAAACACCTTGCACCCTCAGGACCAGACACCTCCAGCCTCTGGCTCTCACATCTTAATGAACACTGAGGGAGCAGAGACGCACAAGCACACACACACACTCCGTACAAAACGGACTAAATTGACTGGGCTTAAAACTTGTGAGCTTCTCTAAGGCAAAAGAAGGAATTTCTCTTACAGTCCTAAATCCAGCATCAGATCTTATCCGACAATATACGGAGAGAACTGGAGCCAGAAGACAATGAGCAAAGGGTTACTGCACATTGTACTCTTTCACAGAGAAATATTCATATGAGCAGGGTGGAGAGTGGGGAATTACATTTACCAGTACCCGTGTTATGTAACTAAGTATGAATTTTATGTACTTTGTACTTTTTAAATTATTCCAACTTGTACTTTTACGCGAGTATGTTTAAATGATCTACTTCAGTTACATTTGAAATCTCATCTGTTACGGAGTAGAAAAAGTCAACATGTGAAATTAAACCATCATCAGCCCGTGTTTGATTCCACGAAAGGTGACACAAACCCACAGAGATTGTGCACAAACTCAGCCGGCTGCTCCGTCTAAGGAAGTGGGGGTGAAACTCAGCAGACACGTCGGCTCGTCACCTGCAAACTGGCGGGCAGCTAAACGTCCACTGAGACAGTTCAAGTGGAACTAGAGATAATGAAATGAACTCCTGGAGCGAGCGGCCATGTTTAAGAGACACTCTGACTCCATTGTCTTCTACCTGCTCAGCCTCAAGTAGTGCTGAGTTTAAAACATACTGTCTCTAAAACAAGACTTTCAGAGTTCAATTAAAGGCTTTGTGAAAACTACTAACAAGTTGTTCAGCTCTGCCACAGCTGGTACGCTGACTAAATATTCAGTAAACTAACTCTATAATCTGACATAATCATAAACAGAAAACCAACAACTCCCAAACTCATGTCTAAAAACATGTCCGACAATCAATAAGTGGATCTGATCCAATTAAAACATACAACTTGATGTAAAATAATAATAATAATAATGAGGGAAAATATAAATATCTCTGTATTTACAGTCTGTTTACCTCAGCAGACTTGCTACATTCACACATCAGCTGATTATTCCCTCAGTGTTTAAACTGGTTTGTTTTCTAAACTTGTCATGTTCCAGTAAAATGACCTGCTATTAAAGCTTCAACGGGTCATTTTTTATTAACAGTCAATGGATTTCACAACGGCAAAAATGTTAGAGTGATAGTCCAGTTGTCCATTTGTCTTCTCGTGATGGACTGGAAACCTGTCCAGGTGTCCCTGGGATGGACTGGAGACCTGTCCTTACTTGAGTCCATTGTTTTAGTCCTCTTTCCAGCCCTGCCTATAAGTTCAGGTTTAGTGCTGTGAACAGCCTCAGAGCTACTGAGTGGTCTTGACCTCCGTCTACTCACAAGGCACTGGACTTCTCCATCTCTTTCAGCTGATCTCGGATTCTCTTGTAGTTGGTCTGAATCAAGCACAGGCGTTCACGGCGTTGATTATGAGCTTTCCTCAGCTCTTCATTCTCTTCAGTCTGTGGAGAACAGACACAAAATAGTTTGTTAAATTATATTAAACACAAGTGGCTCAGTGTCAGATAAAATAATGTCAGTATAGTAGGAAATCTGATTAAACTCCTTAAACGTTTCTTACAAAGAAAAGACAAACGAAGAAACATTAACAGAACGTTTTTAATAAGGTGCACTTTCGCAGTGCAAAAAGTGTACACTTCTTTCAAGTGTCATTTGCTGTGGATGTGTCAGGTATAAAAAAGGCTTTTCTTAGCTGAAAATGTCACATCTTATCATTCAAATTGTTTTAAACTCATAAATCTAGTCATCATATTCCCAGAAAAGTGTCTCCACATGTACTTTGGCGTTATGCTGATGATACTCCGTTATGAAACCCGATGAATCCAATCAGTTAAGTTATAAGCAGGTCTTAAAGATCCAGCAAAGTTCAGTCGGGTCCTCTGGACGTTTCTTTTTGTTGAAACGTTTCGTCTTTCATCCAAAAGACTTCATCAGTCCGAGGAGCCACAACAAACTCAGTCTTATTAAAAGCACCTTCGCATAGTGGGTCAACAAGTTTTATGGTGTTAAGATGGTTTCTAGAGTCCACCCTCTCCCCCGCCGACTCGTCTGAGGCAGTCATACCGATGTGGTTCAAGAAGAAACCTTTCAAGAAAAATAATCCGTCCAGAGGACCTCACTGAACTTGGTTGGATTTTTCTACCTGGATTATTGAGCATGAATAAGCATGTCTTTAAGACAGAAAAACCTGGATGACCTTTAATTTTCTGCTTTTAAACTCATAAAACTAGCCATCATAATCCCAGAGAAGTGTTTCCATTTGCACTTTGGTGGTATTTGTATGAACAAGTCAATCACATGACAGGTCAGTGGACACACACACACACAGAGACATTTAGTTCAGCAAAGAAACTCACTGGCTGGAGTTACCAGCTGATGGCCAGCAAGTGTTTCATTTGGGGATTCTATCCATGGGTTTGCTGCTGACACTGTTGTTGACAGCTATTAAAACACAGCAAGTTTGGGCTTCTGCTTGAAAGAAGGAGAAGAACATATAGATTGTTCTTGTCAGTATCCCCCCTCCTCCGTATAACGCTGACCTTACCAGCGAGGGCAACGAGAAAAAAATACAACTTTCAACCGACAAGACATGTGAACAGAGTCTAAAGAAATTAAGAAAGTCAGCTCATAAAAGTGCAAGAAAAGAAAGACAGGAAACTGAGAAATTGGAAATTGAGGAAAGCGAGAAAAAGAAAAGCAAAAAGTGAATGGAAGATTTCAGGACAGGTTTCTGCTTGAGTGGCCAGCGCTGGCAAGAGTTGTCGAACGTTTTCTGAAAGGAAGGAGCTTGTTTACTGTTGATATGACACGGCTACCCTGCAGAGAGGGAAATGCAAGCCCTCAGCCCTGTTATTATTAACAAGGACAAAGAGAACATAGCTAACCACAAACATGTGCAACAAGGGTGCGAACACACACACATGCAACGCACATCTACACTGCCAATGTGACAAGTATAGATTTTCCCTTGTGTGGATTATTCGCAGAGGACATCTGAAAGACATCCTAGCCCCCTTCAAGCAGCTCTTGACCTCTGAAACAAAGCTCTAATGAAAGAGCAGACCAGAGCAGTGTTAACTGGTGGAACTAGGGGCTCAGGGAAGACATCGAAGAGTTGTGGCTGACTGAAGGAGGTATAGCGGGGGTGGGTGGAAGTGAGCAAGTGGCAGGGTATTAGCCACATCATGGCTTCCCAGGCTCCTTATAGAGCTCCCCCTTGGGCAGCTGAGTGCTGGTCATCCGACTCTTGCCCACCAATCAATACACCCCGTTACTCAGCCAGAATACACATCTGTGGACGACCAAGCTGAAAAATAATTACACAGAGACAGCAACTTCTTACTTTAAAGCATGGGGGGGGGGGGGGGGGCATTTTAAAGAGAACTGTTTGTTTGACTCCTTAGCTGTAATGGTCAAACATCAATGATGTGGCTGCCAATTTGAATGCAGTGTTGTAGAGGAGAACGGGATAGAAGAACAATGCAGCGAACAAAGTGTTGGCTGTGAGATGATGAAGTTTATATCTCATGGAAGCCATATAGCAAAAGATAAAACCCTCAGAGTCAGAACTAATGCTCTTCTTAATGTGGCTACATTTTTCTGTGCGTACTTCCACTAAACACATGTCCACCTGGTAGACAAAGACGAGTAAATGGCACCATTAACTAAGACAGTCATGCATGTTGTCTGAATTCACGTTAAGCATCAACTGTCTGTCTGCCAGTGATGTAATTCACATCTGACAAGTTAACGATGCCTAATGCATTTGGAAAATTGTGTTCGAAAGGAGATGACCTTTTAATATTCACTCACTCACTGGTCAACTGCAAAGATGAAGAGGGTGGAGAAAAGAATCAAAAAGAACAACTTGTAGAAAAAGGGCCATGTGGTTTCCACAAATTCAACAAATATAGAAAGAACATGAAAAAATAATACATTGGAATAGAACTAATGTGCATTTGTTCTAACAATTAAAGTGTTTTTCCCACTTTACATTTACATTCATTTTAAAGAGACTACTGTAACTCCTCCTCCTATCTGTGTGACTTAGTCAGACTTTGGTTGTCACAGACGGTTAGGTTGGACCCAAATGCAGGCACAGCCAACTCAAAGTACAAATAAAACTTTTATTTGAACAAAAACAAAAGACTGACTAGGCAGCAACACTTACAAAATTACAGGAGGTAAAAATCACAGGGAGTCACGAGGGAGGACGAGGACTGAGACATGACTGTGGGATTCTTCCTGCAGGTTCCTGAGTCCAGGGTGGCACCAACAAGCAGCAGCTGAGGATCAATCCACTAACGAGCTCCAGGACTGTAAGAGGCTGCAGAAGAGCTCCCTGCCCTGCTGGAGCATTACTTACCTACTGGTACTTGTGCTATCAGTCTTGTGCTAAATTTCAGATTGAAGTATACTTACCTTGTGTTTTCCTCACGTTCTTATAGAACCTGTTTCCTGAGCCTTCAGTCCTGGGATCCTTGTCGCCTTCCAAAAAGCCTCGACTCCTGTACTTACCTGCGAGTTCCTTTACCTCCTTGTGGATCTTCTCCAGCTGCTCTGCTCCCATCCAACCACTTGTCTCCATGTTCCACCTGCATTCCTCAAACCTGGACCTGACCTACCTGGAACCCTCTGCTCTCCTCTCAATGTTGTCTCTCACCTACCTACCTGCCTGTAAGAGATCAATAGCCTGCAATATCACCAGTTCCTCCTCCCAGTTCCTGATGCTTCTCCTTCCTCCTCAGGTTTCCCAGGGTCTCCATTAATTCCCATACTGTACATAAATTACTTTATTTATATAAAGTTAGTTGGCACCAGGTAAACACTGCCATGTATTCAGGTTAATGAGCTGCTGGTGAGGTGGAGACAAGGAACTGTATGAATACAAAACTGTGCGGGACTGAAAGTGGGAACACCTGAGGAAAATGTTGACTGCTGACAGGAGAGGGTGGCAGGCTGACTGGAAGGACCGAGGCTTACTGAGGGTGAATGGAAGAGGGCACAAGAAACAAAACAAGACCTAAAACAGAATGATCCAAATAAAATCTTTACCCAAAAACAATAAAGATCTAAACAGAACTGGAATACCAGAACCCAGAGAATATTGAAATAAACTACAAGGACTAAATAAAATCACAAGTGTACAGATTTGACACTGGTCTCTCAGACAAACAGTCAGGACAGACTTGTTGACGTGTCGGCTCTTCCTGTTGCTTAAACTACGCAGTCATCAAAAAACTGCATGTGACACAAAGTGCTACGTTTTAGAAGGTCGACAACCAAAGGGTTTCTCTAAATGGGAGCACAACTTTTCTCTGTTTTGTCATCATACAGTTCGAGAAGGAGGAGAAAATACAACAAGCTCTTTTAATCAAAGTTGTCTCAGCAACAGGAACCGAGCAGATCCTCTCGGGGAACTCTTCAGCAGAAGTGACATGTGACTGTCAAAGACTTTGGAGCCATGTGTATACGCTCTCATATACATAACACTACACCCCCCCCCCCCACACACACACACACCAATACCACATATTGGAGAGCTTTTTTTTGTTTGTTTTTTTGAGAGGGCTGTCGCTGCACAGCCAGTTTATTAAAAAACTTCTTCTTGCAACGAGCAGAAGTTCGTCTTCTGGGGTAAGGTACATTCTGGGACACCGGTGTCAACACAGCAGTACTCCTGCAGGATCACAGGTACAGTTCCACAGCCTATAGTTGAAAAGGAATGCAGCCTCCAGAGGGCCTTGGGGGCCATTCTACTAGGGGCTTCAGCTCCTCATGGGCCCTGATTAGAGGGTTCCCTTCAGGAGACTTGTGCCACAGCAAGCTGGGCCTCTCCTCACACATTTGCTCGGTTTTTCAAACTTGATGTCACAGCACTATCCCTGCCTCATTCAGTACCAAGTGTAGCACCAAGTGCACAGGAGAATTTCAAATAAATGCTCTGAACAACTGGCACGTAATGTGAAATCTGCTGAGCAATATGGGAGTCAGTATTTGTGGTTCCCAAAGTGAGACACAACGCAAGCAGAACTTTAGGTTCTTTCCTAACCCCAGTTCCCTGTGCAGCACGAGTGTCTCACCAAGTCTCCCTCCTTGCTCTGACGTTGTGACGTTGATACCGATAGTCCTACAGTATACACGGGGGAAGACACCCAGCTCTCCTCGACACTGAGACCTTGAAAGTGTTGGCAGGACAGCAGCTGATAAGAAAGGTTGGCGAGTGACAGGCAACCCTCCATTGTTGCTGATCTCCGAGCGCCACTGCAGTGAAAAGGATTTTATGTTTTTCTTCTGTAAGTATGGAACGTACCTCTGCTTGGTTCTCGTTTGGAAACAAGAATGGACAACACCAAACACATCAAGAGAATAGAGAGAAGACGGAACTGAATGTCCGACAAAGCAAGAGCGTTCCGTGACTTATTCGCTCCAAGGATCGTTGTGGGACTGTCTGTTAGTGATGTGTAGTTTTCTTCCAAACAATATTCAACAGAATTTATATTTCAAACATGTCATAATCAAATGAAACGACCTTAATTTATTGAATATGTTTTCTTTTTCTTCTGCAGGTGATGTCCAGGGACAGTGAATGTGCAAAATAATCAGCCTATTCGTGTTGAAAGCAAACTTAAAGAAGCCAGGTCAGCGTGGTTTAGAGAGACGACCTCCGATTCAGAAGTCATGGTCAGGATTATGCTACGATAAAGAACGCTACGAAATACATCTGAATTATTTTAGGAAAAGAAGAGACAGAAATAAGAAAATGTAGTTCGCCCCACAAAAGAGAACGACTCAAACTGTTTGGTCACAGAACTTTGAGTTACACAAGAAAATACATATTGTACAGATATGTACATAATATACAAACATGTACATCCATGATGTACAAATACTTTTTGCTTGGAGTCAGAGTAAAAAGTAGAGTCAGAAGAACATCTCAAGCCATTTGAAGGTTCAAGGAGCATAAAAGATGATTTGCTTCAGGACACCAACAAGCCCATTGTTGTTTGTGCTGTCAGTAAAAACAGGTCCTCCTGCTGCTTTAATGCCTGCACACACTGTGCACATCGTGCACGTGTGTGAAAGGTGATCTGAAAGAAGGTCATAGAGGAGACGGTGGCAGCAACTGAACATTGTACCCTTTATACGAGTTGGTCACCGCAGCGTTTGTCTCCGTTAGTCATGTGTTCATTCAAGCTTTATTTCCACAGGTTAGTCCCATTGAGCCTCGGGGACTCAGTCACAACACACACCTGATGTTGTTGGGCCTTGTTGTTTCAATAGTTCAAGGAAGCACAAGTTACTGTAAAAAGATAACTTGCACTAAAGATTACATTAGAAATGGCAGTAATGACATTTACAATTAAGAATTATTATTAATTTGAATAAATTAAACAGTAAAGAATAAATAAAAAAATTAGATTGATGTAAGCCAACACAAAGACACGCATTAATCACTACATCACTAATGTTCTTCTACTACCTTCAGTTGCAGCAGCTCTTCAAGGTCTTGAATTCTTTGTTCTGCTTCCACTCTCCTCCCACTCCCCCCCCTCACGCTGCTGGCTGGGGACATGGACCTGGACCGCTGCACAGGTGCACCCTGGGACAGGTGAGCAAAACAAGAACTGAGGTGAGAACTTAAGTGCACAAAGCATGTAGCAATTAACATTTGTAGAAATGCTAAGTGAATGCCAATAATGCAGGCGTCTGTGTGTACTCCATTCCCCTCTCACCTTGAGTAAAAACATGAGCGTTGTCTTGCATGGTACACACACACGTGCACATATAAACAAACATGCTGCCAGAGGACTAACGCAAGCTGGAGCATCAGTCGGCAGCAGCTAAAGGGGAGGAGGTTGGCTGTTCTGTGTGTGTGTGTGTGCCTGGTAGTAGAGTTGCAAGCTGTGTGCAGGAAAGGTTTCTCCCTGCAACTGGCTAATGAGTATGTTCATTTCCATTTACATTGTTTCTTTGACAATAATGATGTCCCATTAGGGGAGACTAAAGGGGCTATAGATTCCAGAATATGCTGGGCTTCATTACAAGAGGTGGGCAGGGAGGCCGCTCTAATTGCTCTACTAGGGGCCTCCAGGTTACACTTGATAGGACAACTGGAAGAGCTGCCGATTAAGGGGGGTGGCTGGGGGGGAGGGCAGGTGGAGGAAAGGCTTACTATCCAGTCTCTTCTGTAAAAATAAATAAAGAAATGAAAAAGCGTTGGGGCCATCCTGTACAAAAGCAGTGGGAACAATATGCTAGTGGAATATGAATATGAGAGGATGAGAGGCCCCATGTGGTGCCAGGCAGGGCTGACCAGATGGCAGACTAAAATATGCAATGCCACTAAACGCCCAACAGTCCTTGGGAGGAAGAGGAAGAGCAGGAAGGAAGGAGGAGGAGAGAATGGAGCAAAGAGATTATTAAGCCGAAGAAAGTACCACTCATCCTCCAAAACTGTTTTTAATTGATGTTAATAAGGTTTGTTGTCTATCAGACTGCACAACTGAAGACCTGAGCCTGGGTGGCACGGTGGTGCAGTTGGTCGAGCTGCCGTCTCTCTCCGAGCAGGTCGCCGGTTCAAATCCCGGCTGGAGGCCTTTCTGGGTGGAGTTTGCATGTTCTCTCTGTGCTGCGTAGGTTTTCTCCAGGTACTCCAGTTTCCTCCCACAGACCAAAAACATGCACGTTAGACTGATGGTGACTGTAAACTGTCCCTAGGAGAGAGAGAATGATTGTTTGTCTTGTTTGTCTCCAGGTGTCCCTGTGATGGACTGGAGACCTGTCCAGGTGTCCCTGTGATGGACTGGAGACTTGTCCAGGTGTCCCTGTGATGGACTGGAGACCTGTCCAGGTGTCCCTGTGATGGACTG